AGATATTTATCTTTAGTGTTTTGTTTTCCTTGTAATGTCTTTCATCATTTGGAAAGAATTCTCTCTTTCTAGATTTTCTGGAAGAATTTGTGTAGAATTGGTGTGGGTTTTTTTGTTTTTGTTCCTTTAATGTTAGGCCAAATTCACCAGGAAAGCCATCAGGACCTGGGCTTTTCTTTGTGGGAAGTTTTTAAATTACTAATTCAATCTCTACTTTTTGTAGGTCTGGTCAGATTTTCTGTTCCCTCTTTAGTCAGTCTCAGTGGTTTTTGTCTTTTCAGGAATTTGCCCATTTAATCTGAGTTTTCTGATTCATTGGTATATAGTTGTTCATAGTATCCCCTATGATCCTTTTTATTTCTGAAAAATTGCTAGTAATATTCCCTCTTTTATTCCTAATTTTAGTAATTTGAGTCTTCTCTCTTTTTTTCATGGTTAGTCTAGCTAAAAGTTTATCAATTTTGTTGATCTTTTCAAAGAATCAGCTTTTGGTTCTGTTGTTTTCCCTTTTGTTTTTCTGTTCTTTACTTCATTGAGTTTTTGCTGTAATCTTTATTTCCTTGACTCTGCTTGCTTTGGATTTAGTTTCTTTTTTGATGGAACATTAGGTCATTTTCTTGAGATTGTTCTTTGTTATGGCCCTTTACAGCTGTAAATTTTTTTTTCTTTTTTTCTTTTTCAAGATTTTATTTATTTGACAGAGAGAGACACAGTGAAAGAGGGAACACAAGCAGGGGGAGTGGGAGAGGGAGAAACTGGCTTCCCACCGAGCAGGGAGCCCGATGTGGGGCTCCATCCCAGGACCCTGGGACCACGACCTGAGTCAAAGTCAGACGCTTAACAACTGAGCCACCCAGGCGTCCCTACAGCTGTAAATTTTCACTTAAAACACTACTTTAGCTTTATCCTTACATGAATTTTGCTGTCCCGTGTCTTCATTTTTATTCATCCAAAAGTATTTTCCAATTTCCCTTAAGATCTTTGTTGACCCAATGGTTATTTTGGATTGTGTTGTTTAATTTCCACCTAACCAAATTTTCCAGATTTTTTTTCTGTTGAATCCATTGTGGTCAGAGAACATACTTTGTATGATTTCAGTCCTTTAAAATTTAATGAGGCTTGTTTTATGACCTAGTGTGTATGATCTATCCTGGAGAATATTTCATGTGTATTTGAGAAGAATGTACATTCTATTGTTGGGTACAGTGTTCTGTTGATGTCTGTTAGGTCTAGTTGGTTTATGGTATTGCTTCAGTACCATACCAAAGTGGTACCATACCAAATGTGGTCGTTACTGGCCTTGCTATTCTCACCAGGGCCTTTGCATTTGTTGTTCCTTCAGCCTGGAACATTCTTCCCCTAGGCAAAACAGGATTTTTTCCCTCAATTTAGTCTCATTTCTCCACATATGTCATCTTATCAGAAAGGCCTTTCCTGACAAGCTTTCCACCCAAATATGTTTCCTATCTTTTCATTCTCCTTTATTTTTTACCTATAGAACATGCCACTACATAAAAGCTCATAGTACATATATTTGTTTCTCCCACTCCCTTATTCACTGCTCTGTCACCTAGTAGGTACTCAGAAATTGTCAAGTATGTGGATATGGAAATCTGGAAATAAAAGCAGAAGTTTTGATTGGAAATAAATATTTGAGAGTCATCTGTATAGAGGGAAAATCTGAATTCACAGGTGGAAAAAATCATGTAAGGCAAAAGTGAGGGGATAAAAAAGGGCCAGGACCTAACCCTGATGAATCCAACATCTATTAGAGGTTTGGTAGATGAGGAGGCCCAACAAAGAAGACTGAGAAGGAGCAACAGAGAGGTAGAATCATCATGGTTCTTTTAGTTAAGGGGTTGCCTGTACTAGCACTAAACTAAACTAGGAGGTGCCACTGAAGCCAAGGAAGAAGGCAGTAGCCAACTCAGTGGACGCCACTATGAAGTTCAGAAAAATAATGTCTAAAGAAGTGACTGTCAGATATGGTGACATGAAGATCATTGAGAACCTTGACAAGAGCGGTAGAGTGGTACAAACAGAAGCAAGTCTATGTGTGTTGAAGAGTGTGTAGGCCATGAGGAAATGGTGATGTCTCCTCAGTTTACAAAATAATAATTATTCATTTAAACCTTTTTATGAAATCTGCAGGTAGAACTGAGCTTCGCAAGTTTCCTTTTCTTCTTCCTGGCCTTTTCAGTGCTTAAAACTCCCAGATATTGAAAGTGTTGATTGATTCCTTAAAGAAGAAAAGTCTCTAATGGGTAGATGTTGAATGCAATCTAAGCCAGCTGGTCCTGGGTTCCCCCCCACCCCAGCTTCTGAGAACTGGGAAACTCGTGACTAGACAAAGCTACAGTATCTTCACTATCATCATCCCTTCATGACCAAACACGTATGCTCTTTGCAGTAAGTTGCCATTTGTTTTTATATAAATGTTTTGGAAAGAATCTGTCAGAACAGTAGTGGCTATTTCTGTTTGTTAAAGTAGTTTTCTCCTATCATTTATTTCTGGATTCTTGCCTTTAGACCATATGAAACCCATAAAGATGTTTATCGGCTTCATTATCACCATGATAATAGCTACCAGAAACCTAAAGCGTTGATGCAAGAGAACAGAGATTTGAGAAATAGACTCATGAGTATATGGTCAGTTGATAATTAGACCAAGATACAAAGCAATTAAATGGAGAAAACAGTCTTTTCAACAAATTGTGCTGGAGCAATTGAAAATCTATATGAAAAACAAAAACCTCAATCCATACCTTATACCTTATATAGAAATTAGTACAAAATGGATATAATAGACCTGAATATGAATTTTAAAACTATAAAACATCTGAAGAACAAAACATAGGAGAAAATTTCTGTGACTGTGGGTTAGGTAAAGATCTCTTAGATACAATACTAAAAAATGGAAATGTTTTCCTTAGTAGCTAATTCATTCCAGACTCTTTACAATGAGCCCTTAGAGGTGCCTGGATGGCTCAGTCGGTTGAGTGTCTGACTCTTGTTTTTGGCTCAGGTCATGATCTCAGGGTCATGAGGTCCAGCCCGGGATTGAGCCCTGCAGCCGGCTCCTCACTCAGCGGGGAGTCTGCTTGTGATTCTCTCTCTCCCTTTCCCTCTGACCCTCCCCCCAGCTAAAATAATAAATAAATCTTTTAAAAAATAATAAAATAAAATACAATGAGCCCTTAGCTTAGTAATTTGGTGTGTTCTAGAGCAGCTCTTTTGGTTAAGAGAAACAAAGTTTGCACTAAGGCCATCAAATTTGAAATTCTGATCTGGCTTCTTCCTGCCTTCTTCTCAGGGCAAAATTGAAGTTATATGAAGGGAAGTCTGTCAAGAAGTCCGGCTAGCCTGTTCCTCAATCTTTCACTGCATCTCTTCTGCCACTGTAACTTTGGTTCATCCATGCATTCATCATTGGCGTCATGGCCTTGACTGTATCTTTTAGCTTTTCCTTTTAAGTTTTGGCTTCTGTTGCTGCCTAATTATTTTGCCATTTTCTAAGTTAGATTCCCAGGAGAGAGAACTTAATTGGCCCAGATTATTTTTACATGTTCTAGGCTACTAAATGGATATGTCGAAACAGCACTCTGGGCCAGTCAGTGGCTCTGGGTAGGGTTGTGGGAACATAGGGAGTTGACTGGCAGGGATCTAAGGGGACAGGTAGGTGTAAAATATTGGTATGTAAAAGGTGAACTATACCTTCAGCTGGTACCAGGAACAATGGAGTTTCCCTTAGATGGGACCACAGATGTGACAAACACTGTAATAGATATAGTTATTATAAAGTAAAATATTGATGTTTTTATTTTATTCTCCCAGAAACCATTGACCATCTACTTGTTTTCTAGTTGTGGCTCTCTTATCATCTAGCCCCCCTTCTAAATCAGTCCAGAGTAGTTAGCAAGGTGAGTGTATAAAGTAGGAACTTCTGCCTTTCGTGTAGGGCAGAGGTAGAAGGTATCTGGGAATAGAGGATAAGAATCTTGGATTAGTTGAAGGGTCTTTGACTGGCTCAGTCAATAGAGCATGGGACTCTTGATCTCGGGGTCATGAGTTCAAGCCCCACGTTGGATATAGAGATAACTAAAATTAAAATTAAAAAAAAGAATCTTAGGTTAGTTGAAAGTTGTTATCAGAGGTCATTTACTATATCTCCCTGCCTCTGGTTATAACACTCAAATCATGGCTTTCAGGGAGACAGTAGTCCCTCTTTTTGCACTTTAGTCTGAGTAACTTCCAAGGCCAGTTCTTTATGGTATTTAATTCATTTTTTCCTGATGGGCTTCATAATATCAATCCAAAATGGTCATCCTGATACTAGATTCTGGTGTTCCCTTTTCCCTTGCATGATGCTTATTTTGCTATTTTTCTTTCCCATTAACAACCTGCTTTATAAGAAAGCTGAGTTACTTTTTTTCCTTTCTCCTTCAAAGAAACTACTACCCCAAAAAAGTGACACATACTCTTGCTGCTTAGTATTTTTTTACAAAGTAGGCTGACCTTTTTGGTTTGTCATCTTCAATTTTGTTGGGGTCCTTAAATCTTGATTGTTAGAGTCTTAGGATCCCATAGAGAAACTGTGGGATTAGGTTTGTTTGTTTGGTTTTCACTTGACTGGAGGAACTGAGCTTGCATTTGCTTTCTCCTATAAGAATTGGTACATATAAGATGGTCAGGTGGTGAATTTGGTTTGGCTAGATTTAATACATCTTGGGGAGATGGAATAGCATGCACTCTGAGGAGAAAGATGTTAATGAGGAGGGGAAGAGTGGTTGCTTACCTAGGGTTTTGCCTATCAAACTTGATTGTTGCTAGAAATCACTGGTGCAGCTTGCTAAAATGCAGATATTAAATCAGTAGGTCTGGGGTGAGGCTCAACATCTAGGATTCTTCATTTCCAACAAGTTTGCAGGAGATGTTCATGCTGCTGGCCTGCAGACACACTTAGAGGAATAAGAACATATGGGGTTGATATTCCCATACAGGCATCTCTGAATAGAAGCTCCTTGTATCGCTCCCCTTCATTGCCAGAGAATTTGAACAGGCCAAGACTGAAGCGGGTGGTAAAATTCAAGGACAACCCAGTACCAGATAAAGAAAAAAAGGAGTATTGTTCTAGCCACAAAGAGCTCAGGAAGGTAAGAACTTTTTAAGATGAGAATCTATTTAATCTTCTATCTCATTGTGTTCTCTGCTTTTTTGTTATGAGGATTGCTTTAGGATATCTTGTCTTCTTTCTCATAACTTTTACTTTTATCTCCTTGCTCTTTATGTCTTTCTTGTCTTTTTTACATCTGTACCCATATATAAAATATTTAACAATAAATATCTGTTATATTACACTTTTGGAAATGGTGTTGGCATACTGTCTTCCCAACCTTCTTTTATAAGATTTGAGAGGACACAAGGAAACCAGGAATGGTAAGGATATTTACAGCTGTTTTACCTGCATTCTGACAGAAACAGCATCATGGAGCACACTGGTTTGGTGGGAGGCAACTTTTGAAAAATTTAGCTGTCATTCCCTACGCCTCCTTTAAAAAAAAAAATCTGAATACTATTTTATAAAATCAGCATATGATAGTATAGAATTTATACATAAACAAAAGAAGCTATTGTGAAATGCCCATAATCCCATAGGCCAGAGATAATTATTGTCAACACTTGGTGTATGTTTTTCTAGACTCTTTGATGCAGACTTTTTTCTTTTAGTAAAGTGATATTACAAAGTATGAGTTTTCTCACTTTCTTAAGGATATCATGAACTTATTTTCATGTCAATGAAATTAATCTACAACATAACTTTTTATTGCATAATAGTAATCTATAATGTGAAATATGATCTGTTTAACCAAGACCGTTATTTATTAGTAATCTTTCTCTATTATAAACTTGCTGGGATATTCATTTTTACAGCCCAATCTTTGTGCAATTTTTTTCCCAAAGAGTGTGTGTATTTTTAATAAGTCTCCACTCCTTCCTCTCCTGGGTTTTAAACCTTTAACATGAGAATTGGCGGTGGGGGGCATCTTGTCATCCTCAGGGCTTACGTCTAAAGAAGACAGTCTCTCTCTGTGACATTAATATCACTCAGATGCTGGAGGAAGATTCTAACCAGGGCTCTCTGATTGGTGATTTCTCCAAGGTGAGTTTGGTTATATTCATCTTATATTCCATTGAGTCATTTTGGATCTGAGTCTTTCTTTGCTTGAAGAGGACACTGGGTATAATTATGCATCCTCACCAAGGACTATTTGATAAACTGAAGATGCTATGGTGGTAGATTTAGACCCTAAGCCTTTCCAGTGAGAAAGTATTTCTTATTCATTCTGGGAAAATGCAGAGCACTGGGGAAAGTATGAGGCTTTTTACTTTTTTCTTTTTAAATTAAAATTATGTAAATAATACTTGGTCATTACAGAAAAAGTAGAAAATGAAATATACCTCAACTCTTTTAAAAATATTATTGCTTTTAACATCTTGGTTCATATTCCTCCAGACTTTTTTCTATGTATGTTCACAAACACACATGCATATAACCAAATACATTTTTTTGTTCTTTCACAAAAAATGGTTTATACTGTTTTGTGATCCACTGTTTTTTTTCCCCATCATTTAATGTATCAGGAACATCTTTCATGTCAATAAACAGTTCTGCTTCACCATTTCATAATTTTTAATAGTACAGTATTTCATTTTTTTGGCTGCCCATAATTTTTAAAAAGTTTTTTTTACATTTTTTATTTTTAAATAATCTCCACACCCATTCTGGGGCTTGAACTCACAACCCCACAATCAGGAGTTGCATGCTGTACCAGCTGAGCCAACCAGGCACCCCTGCTCATAATTTCTTGTAGGATATTTACGTTTACAATTTTTCCTTATGAACAATACCAAGATGGGCATATTTGCAGCTAAATCTAAAACTTTGTGTGAGTCCTTAATTCATTCCTTAGAATCACTTCTTAGAAATGGAATTGCTGCATATGCTCATTATAGAGACCATTGATTCTTTTTTTTTTTTAACTTTTTATTTATTCATGAGAGACAGAGAGAGAGAGAGAGGCAGAGGGAGAAGCAGGCTCCCAAGGAGCAGGGAGCTTGATGCGGGACTCGATCCCAGGACCCTGGGATCATGACCTGAGCCGAAGGCAGACGCTTAACCATCTGAGCCACCCAGGCGCCCGAGACCATTGATTCTTTTGAAGGCATCTGGGTTTTTTTTTTTAATTTTTAATTTATTATTTTTTTGAGAGAGAGCAGGGGCCGGGGTGGTGGAAGAGGGAGAGGGAGAGAAAGAATCTTAAGCAGGCTCCATGCCCAGTGCGGAGCCCATCACAGGGCTCAGTATCACAACCCTGAGATCATGACCTGAGCTGAAATGAAGAGTCAAAAACTCAACCCAGGCACACCCCACATGGGGTTTTAAAAGGTCATTTGGAAAGAAGGGCAATATATAGGTCTTTGATCTCAAATTGGGGTGTAGAAAACTTGCTGTTATTTCAGTTCTTGGGTATTTCTAGGTATGTGTGCTGCCAACCGTGTCAGGGAGACACCAGGATCTGAAGTACGTCAACCCAGAAACAGTAAGCAGATTTCTGGAGATGGTACCTGGTTACATAAGCTACCATCTGTTCTGTTCTGTCCCTAAAATCCCCACTTCCATTGTATTTCACTGTGTCCACTCACATAGGCTCCTCATTCAACTGAAGCTATGTTAAAGAACTCCCATTTATCCCATTCTTTTGCCTTTATTTTTAATTAAACAAATGATAGATAATTGTTATGGAAGAAAGAAAGCAAGGAAAGAAGGGAGGGAAGGAAAATAGTCAAAATCACTCAGTTTGGGCGATCTCACATCCTGATTTAGGTATTACAATCCCATTGACACCTTTCAGCGCATGGTAATTATTAATAGTATTCTCTTTCACTCTCAAAAGTGTCCTAGTTTGTGCAATAATTATTTGGTCCCCTACCCATAATCTCACCACCAGAGATAACCACTGGTAATATTTTCCTTATGGCCTTCCAGATTTTATTCTGGAATTTATTTGATAAAAATAGGATTATAATGACCATGTAGTGTTGAAGTTAGCAAGACATTGTAAACATCTTTCTACCTCAGTGAAATAAATCTATATTATCCTTCTAATGACTATATAATACTCTATCATATTGGCGTGTATAATTTAACCAAACCCCTATTTTTGATTTTTTTTTTAAAGATTTTATTTATTTGACAGAGAGAGAGATAGCGAGAGCAGGAACACAAGCAGGGGGAGTGGGAGAGGGAGAAGCAGGCTTCCTGCCGAGCAGGGAGCCCGATGTGGGACTCGATCTCAGGACCCTGGGATCATGACCTGAGCTGAAGGCAGACGCTTAATGACTGAGCCACCCAGGCGCCCCTTTATTTTTGAATATTTAAGTTATTTGTAACTTTAAATTATTGGATAACTTAAGCTAATATTTAAGTTATTTGATAACCTAAAATAATGGCTCAGGTGAATATTATTGTGTCACATCTTTGCGTACTTTTCTGTTCACTAAAGATGTTGGGAAAGAAATTGCTGAGTCAAAGTGTAATTACATTTACATTACAAAGTTCGCCCCAGAAAGGTTGAATCAATGTATACTCCTACAAGTAGCTTAAGGATATCAACCCTTTCCTTCCATATCCTTTTCTGAAAGACTTGCTTTCTTCCTTTACGATAGAACCATTTCCCATTTCTTCTTGCAAAGTCGGAATCGCTTGCTGCTACCTGTACTACTACAGAAGTCCTTGGGTGTCTTTTGAGAGGCTGATTGTAGCCATGCCTGCCTCCAGATGAGTGCCTTGAATATGCTTTTACCTGGCGTCTTCGCAATACCAGCTATTTTGGTGCTCCAAAAAGACCATTTCATATTTTATCCTCTTGAATGAGCGGTAGGGATGAATCATTGCCCCATTTCAAATATAGGGGACCTTTGGAGACTGGGCATACAGTGGAATCCTGGGTGACTAAAGGGAGTACAAATCAGGAATTGTGTGATTGACTCTTATCTCCCAGAGTGATAGGGAACGTTTCTGTGTTAGGTGGCTGCCTTACTGTCAGGGAAGTTCCAGAGTCTGATTGAGAAGTTTTATATCATCGATTGCCGCTACCCATATGAATACCTGGGAGGACACATCCAGGTGAGGTTACATTGGGGACATTAGTGGGGAGGGGCTGGAGGTAGCTCTTTAATGAGAAGAGTCTGTGGACAAAAGTCCTATGAACTCCAGAACCAAGGCAGAGGTTCTACTTTTGGAGCACATCAAGGCTGCCAGTCCTCATTCCTGTTCTAATTCTGTATACCTTGGGCAATTTACTTTCCCTTTCCCTCCTAGACCAATCTCCCTTTATTCCGTTGGAGCCAAGGGCTCCTACTTGGAAATAAAATATTAATCCAAAGACTGAGAAGCACTTTGCAGACACTCATAGACATTCTTACAATGATTCCTACAGATTTAAGGGGGGTCAGATCTACAAACATTTATTGAGTACCTACTACATGCCAAGTTCACGGTAGACCTTGGGGATAGACACAGAGATATAATTAGATCTTATGCCCTGAAAGTGCTTACAGTCTAGACTTCCTGGCCCAAATATCCCAAGATGGTATCCCAGTTATTTCTAAGTGTTGGAACTATCCACAGCCCCTTAAGAAAATACTGAAATTTTTCTACAGGGAGCCTTAAACTTGTACAGTCAGGAAGAACTGTATGACTTCTTTCTGAAGAAGCCCATTGTCCCTCTGGACACCCGGAAAAGAATAATCATCATATTCCACTGTGAATTCTCCTCAGAGAGGGGTCCCCGAATGTGAGTGTCTACATGGGTTTGGGTGGGTGTTAGAAATGGCCCTTGAATTGGGACTTAAAACCAGAGAACCTTCCCAGACCAGTTCAGACAGAGACTGGAATGAATGAATGCATTCTTTCCATTGTAGTTTAAAGGTTAGGGAGGTAGAAAGAAATGTTTCTACAATTTAAAAGTTTAGAGCAGTGAAGGAAAAAGGATTGGGAATGAGAAGGAGAAAGAGTGACTGCTTGAATCTTGTTTTGCAAAGACAGATCTGGAAGTCCTTTTGGGTTACCCATAGTCTTTTTTCTTCCTTCCCCTCCCCAGTGAATGGCACATGGAATCCTGACCTTGCTTCTTTCCACCCACCCACCTCTCGGTTTTTTTTAAAGGTGCCGCTCTCTGAGAGAAGAGGACAGGGCTCTGAACCAGTATCCTGCATTGTACTACCCAGAACTATATATCCTCAAAGGCGGCTACAAAGACTTCTTTCCAGAATATACGGTAAAAGGATGGGGCACATGGGGCAACGGGAGAGCTCAGGTTTGGGGGGAGCCATCTTGAGCACACAACTTCCACGGCCTGCAAAGCCCTCTGAGAGGAAACTCCTGCTCCTTCTTAGCTACCACCAGCAGCATCTCTATTATACCTCGTAGGAAGTTCTGGAGACTAGAGTATCCCTTACTTTGTCCCCTACCTTTCAGGAGCTGTGTGAACCACAGAGCTACTGCCCTATGCATCATCAAGACCATAAGGCTGAGCTGCTGAGGTGTCGAAGCCAGAGCAAAGCATGGGAAGGAGAGCGGCAGCTGCAGGAGCAGATTGCCTTACTGGTGAAGGATGTGAGCCCATGATAGTGGGTCAGTGGTTGGCTGTCTAGGAGTCACCAAAAGACACTGTAGAAATGCTGACCAGAAAGAGGCCATGTTGTATGTGGCTAAACCCAAGATTGTTAAAAGATGTCTGCAAACCAACAAGCTGCCAAGCTAATGAAATTCCAGGCCTGGGTGTTGGTTTTAGCAGAGCTGCTGGCTGGTGACTGAGTCCTGGAGCCGGCTCTAGAAGGCTGTAGCCTTGAGTCATATGGAGATTTGTTGCTTCAGGAAGTGTTTGCATTCTCTTCCCATTTAGACTTGTCTTCCCACAAGCCAGCCAGCGCTTTCCCTGGTCTTCTGCCTGTGCCCATCTTCTTTCTCTGTACTTGCCTTCTTTGTTTCCTCTCTCTTTATTCTTAAATGGGAAAATAAACACTGCAGAATGAGAGATTTGATTGTGAGCCCAGTCTACTCCTAGAAGATCTTTGTAAGAAAGAGATCACCGGGCGCCTGGGTGGCTCAGATGGTTAAGTGTCTGCCTTCGGCTCAGGTCATGATCCCGGAGTCCTGGGATCGAGCCCCACATCGGGCTCCTGGCTCAGCGTGGAGCCCGCCTCTGCCTCTCCCCCTGCTCATGCTCTCTCTCTCTCTCTCTCTCTCTCTGTATCTCTGTGTCTGAAATGAATAAATAAAATCTTTAAAAAAAAAAAAGAAAGAGATCACCAAATTAGTCTCCTTCAGACAAAGGTGTAACAATCTTGATTTATAGCTGAGGCCGAGGTGCTTCTCTCTAGACCAATGGTTCTCAGATTTGGGCCCTGGACCATAGGGATCATCTGAACTTGTTTGAAATGTAAATTTTCAGGCCTCACAGCAGACCCACTAAATCAAAACCTCTGAGGGCTCCAAATTTGGGGTTTTAAATTTTTTCCCTTTCAGGTGATTCTGATGCATGCTGAGGCTTGAAAACCACTGCTCTGGAATTAAGGAAAAGCTTTTTTTCTTCTTTTTTTTTTTTAGCAAGGGGTGGGGTAGGGGGAGAGAGGGAAAGAAAGAATCTCCCTGCCCAGCTCAGAGCCCGAGGCAGGGCTCACTTAACCAACTGAGCCACCCAGGCGCCCCTTAAAGAAAACCTTTCAAGTTGTATTCTTTAGCAATATCTCAGCTTTCCTTTCCTGGACCATTCCAAGTATGCATTACCTTAAAAGTGTGCCCCACACTCAGCACTCTGTGATAACTAGGCACAGAAAACCAAGGTGATTGGCATCTCTAAATCAGGTGAGTTGGGCTTTAAAAGATTGCTTATCTACAACCTCAATGGAATTTTGACTTCCCATTTCCCAACTCTTTCCTTGACTTCATTTTACATCTCACAGAGATGACTTGGGATAGTTGGAAGCAGAGATATGTTCTGTCTGAAGATAGGAATAAAAGGATAGAAAAGTAGCAAACAAGAGCTGTTAGACTTAAGGAAGACCTTTTATTTACTTGGTTTTTTTAGGAAGACCTTTTAAAGTGCATTCTTCAGCACTATCCCATGCTTTCCGTTCTTAGAGCTCTTAAGGCAAGTAGGTTTTCGTCTTCGGAGTGAGATACAGCCCTATGGCCTGCGGTGGCAGTGGAATTGACTAAACATTGTCACTCTCCCACATTAACCTAGTGGGAGTGCTAGCCCAGGACTAGAAAAGGACAAAGATCTCTGAAGCCTGGATGAGAAAGAATAGAGACAAAAGTGACCTCTTCCCGAGTTCTGGAGCAGGGAGACCTTTTTTCAGTGAGTGGGAGGGAAGAAGGGCTGTTAGTGGACTGATGTTTGGAATGTTGGCCAGGGCTCTTCTCCGGGAGTGCCATGCGTGTGCCTCCCAGCAGAGGGCACTGCTGCATTCTTTAACACCGCTTCTGGGGCCCGCAGCCTCCACGGCCTGCTCTTGCCTCTGTCCAGAGGGAAGCTACCTGGCCTTCTACCTGAGCCCTTGAACTCAGAGCGAAAGGAGCAAAAAGCTGTTTCCACAGTAGGTGCAGATGGCTGAGGGGGAGATGCTGCTCCTCTGTCCCACACCCACATACTTAACCTGCCAAGCAGGTACTCCTGGTGGCCTGAGGAGGAAAATGTTTGAAGCACCTCCACCTCCAGGTATGAGGAGGGGGTCCCTGGATTCACTGCCTAACCTAGTGGGTCATTTCCTGATCATTCTCCCCAGAAAAGTAGAACCAACCCCCACCCCCAAAGAAGAGACTGGTACACATGTTCACATTTCAGTAATCTTAAGTGGAAATTCTGAGTTGCAAAACAAAAACTAGGGCTTAATTAGTTTATCTACTTTGTGAAAAAAATTGTATTTGCCTAAAAGGCACCATTTGCCTATATAATTTCTTATAATATCCTCCCATTGCATAGGTGCCATGCGATTTGATTCATGTTATTTTTAGGAATAATAATAGTAGCTAACGGGCGCCTGGGTGTCTCAGTTGGTTAAGCAACTGCCTTCGCCTCAGGTCATGATCCCGGAGTCCTGGGATCGAGTCCCACATCAGGTTCCCGGCTCGGCGGGGACCCTGCTTCTCTCTCTGACCCTCTCCCCTCTCATGCTGTTTCTCTCTCTCTCTCTCTCAATAAATAAATAAAATCTTTAAAAAAAAATAACAGTAGCTAACATTTTTCAGGTGCTTACTATATGCAAGACTTTTTATGAACTCATTTTATATATATAAACTAATTTAATTTTCACAACAATTCTGTGAGGCAGGTACTTATTATTTTGCACATTTTACAGATACAGGTATTGATATTGAGACACAGAGGGATTAAGTAGCTTGTGTAAGATCACACAGCTAATGAACGGTGGAGTTGGGGTTTGAACCTAGACAGTATGGCTCCAGTGTCCATACCCTGAATGGATTTGCTGTTACCAAATCCTCATCAAAGAACAGTGTGCCTTTCTAGAGTTGACACTGTATTAGACTTTAAATATGTAAGATCCTCAGTTATAGATTCCTAAGAAGTCAGGGCTGTAAGGGTTGCTTGGGCTTGGCAGATGAGGCTGAGGGTTAAGACCCCAGGCCGGAGGGGCGCCTGGGTTGCTCGGTCGTTAAGCGTCTGCCTTCGGCTCAGGTCATGATCCCGGGGTCCTGGGATTGAGCCCCACATTGGGCTCCCTGCTCAGCGGGGAGCCTGCTCCTCCCTCTCTCACTCCCCCTGCTGTGTTCCCTCTCTCGCTGTGTCTTTCTCTGTCAAATCAATAAAATCTTTAAAAAAAAAAAAAAAAAAAGACCCCAAGCCAGAGACCTTGTCATGAGGCATATAGCGGGTTAGCTCTACACTAACACTGACTGTATTTGTTCATCATAAAGTCAAGAAATGAAGATTGGAAACCGTTCTTTCTAAAAACATGGTTTTCAGTCTTAGTCCAGGACCTGGCTGACCTCTGCCATAGAGAAGGGAGGAGCATTTTCCTTTCCTCATTAGGAGTATAAAGTGGGAGGAGGTATGGAAGATTCCCTTTCCCCATTCAGTTCAGGCAAATGTTGAGGAAACACCAATTCCTTTAAACATATATCTGGGGTTTTCAATTCTAAGTACCACAGGTATTCAATTATGAAACTGTCCCTTCCCTCAGAAGACTGGCAAGGTAGAGAATGATTCCCTTTTTTCCCATCCCTATATGCAGTCTGGCCCACTAAGCAAAAGAAAGAAGTACTGTAGCCTCCAGCTCCAAAGCAGCAAGTCTGGTGGTGGTGGCAGGCCAAGTTCACAGAAAAATTAACTCCTGCACGCTACCTGGAATGATAGCATTTATTCAGTGCGTGCTCTGTGCCAGGCACTATGCTAAACTCTTTACTCAATATACTTATATAATCCTCACAACTGTTATATGAAGTAGATACTGTTACTAATTTTACTCATGAAGAAACTGAAGCACAGAAAAATGAAGTGCTGTGCCCAAGGTCATCCAGCCTTTGTTGGAAATGGCAGTTGAATCCAGGCAGTCTATAAAGCTTGTGTTTTGTTTTTTTTTTTAAAGATTTTATTTATTTATTTGACAGAGAGACAGTGAGAGAGGAAACACAAGCAGGGGGAGTAGGAGAGGGAGAAGCAAGCCTCCTGTGGAGCAGGGAGCCCAGCATGGGGTTCGATCCCAGGACCCTGGAATCATGACCTGAGCCGAAGGCAGACGCTTAATGACTGAGCCACCCAGGCACCCCAAAGCTTGTGTTCTTAACTATTCAGCACACTGCTAACATCCTAGGTGAGGGTAGCAGCAGGAATTAAAGCTTCCAGTGAGAGAGGGCTTGATAGAAGGCAGAAAACCATGATTACAAATGAAGTGGAGTAAGATACAAGGTTTTTAGACTGTCGAGCCCAATCAGTGGATTGCAAAGTCTCCCAGGGCAGGGTTTGTCTCTTAATCATTTTTGCACCTGGTTCAAAGTTGAACCCGTAATCAGTTTCAAAAGACCTTATTGAATTGAATGACGGCTGAATAGCATCATCTTTGTAGAAAGGACAGGCTCATTTGTCATTATCCACAAGGTTCCCAAAGACAAGGCTGCTTATCTAGCAGGTGTTGGCAGTCACAGGGGACATGGTTGGTGGGGAGAGGGTGTGCTGGAAGAGCTGTCAATATAAGTGTTGGAGTCATAGTTATTTACAGAGGCTTCCTCATCCCTCCCCTACCTTTGGTTTCCAGTCATCATCCAAGGTTCAGTGATGTCAGGCTTTCTACTCCAGTGCCCAGATAGAAAGACGCTCCAGCATCTCATTCTCACAAAAAGGCTGGCCTGTTACAGGTGGAATTGAGCATTGCTCTCAGCCTAGCAGTTTGACTTTGTTCCTGCCTTCCTGGTTCATTCCATGGGGATGGCACTGAACAGACACTTAGAGCATACATCCTGAACACATGCCTTTTCCCAGCCTATCTCCCACCCAAACTTGATTGGGCTTGGCTGCTGAAAGGGGGGGAGAGCAAAGGTGATACCTCTTAACTACCCCCACCTCAACCTCTGTTGATTCATAGGTCTCTCAGCTGTTTCCTAGCATC